ATGGTGTATGTGTGGTATGTGTGATGTCAGTGGGCAGTGTCTGTCTGTGTCTGCGGGGGGGGTGTGTGTGCAGTGTTGGTGATATCTGTGTATGTGTGGATGTGTTGTCAGTGGGTGGTATCCCTGCGTGTGTGGATGTGTGTGGGGTCAGTGGGCGTGTTTGCATGCACGTGGGTGCACAGGGTCAGGGCGGGAGACCCCGTCCCCTTGGCCCTCAGGCTGCCCCCCTCCCCACTCCCCAGCCCTGACTCAGTGGGCATACTGCACACACAGGAGGTGCCTCGCTCCGTCCGGCCAGAGGGCAGGGAAAGGCAACGGGCCCTCAGCAAGCACAGATGGGCAAGTGCTTTATTAACAAAGGACTGGAAGAAAACTGGAGGCTACCGGCATGGGCTGTTGCCTGGGACAGAATGGCAGAGCAAACCCAGGCCTTGTCGACGACCTCCAGGCAGGGTTGGGGGTACAGAAGGACCCCGGCCCGGGGAGTGGGATGGCCCAGCTGTCCCCCCGCACACCTCACAGACCCTCCGCCTTGTAACGCCCTCCTACAACCCCCACGGAAGCTGTCACGGGAGGGCCCAAAATGCCCCAGTCCCAGCCTAGAGAGAAAGATGGCATAATTTCAATTAAGGTCCCAGGCTGTCAAAAACAACGTTATTAATCTCTTTGTGGCAAATGTGAGCCGGGACCTACTTACACAGCCAATTGAGCATGCTCTAAATTGGTGTTTGCAAGGAACGAATTCAGCTGCCAGCCCCACGCCAGCCGAGTACAAGCTGGTTACGCCACTAACATGAAAGAATATGAGTCGGTAAAATGGACTGCCTGATTGGGCCTGCAGTCAGATGCTGTTAGTGCCCGATTTACCCACACATTAACGTCTCATTGGTTTAACACGATTTACTACACCTCAATCGCGGAAAATGATTTTCATTTCCTCTGAAAACCCTACTCACACGCACAACACAAAGGAGGAGGGGTCTTAAAAAAGCCATCAGCTCACTTTCTTTTTCTTTTTTTTAACATGCCCTCAAGATTTTATAATAAGCCTTTGATAATAAAACAACAAAAAACGAGGCTTAGGACCTTAGGTTTGCTGGCCAGCCTCTCTTAAGCTTGAGTCTGAGCACCACTGCTTGAGGTTGTGCCCTCTTTTGAGAAAATCAGCCCCATCTCAGCCTCCGGTCCCCTGCTCCCACCCTGCCTCCAGTCCTGACACACGAGTCCCTGCTCTTCTTGCCTGGTGTCCCTCTGTGGGGCTGGTGCTGGCCATGCTCCTGGCAGAACATTCTAGGGATGCTCTTTTGACCCCTTTGGGTCAGCGGCCTGCATAGGAGTCTGGCCGCCCTGGGCCTTCCTGGACATTGGTCCAGCCTGCGTTACAAGGGCCACACCCCGGCAGGGAAACAACACCTGCTCTAGAGGAGATTTTATACTCCCCACCTAGTTATGAAAAGAATTCTAAAAGTTCACAGTGGTACAGAGGACAGCAAAAAATAGCTCAGGACATTTCCCTCTGTCTCCCATCCATCCAGCCAACCCCCACACACGTACTTCTTGACACCAACTGTGGGGCCGACACTGTGCATAAAGGAGACGGGACTTCAGGAAGCCTCCAGCCTCCCAAGGACGCAGACCACAAAACTGTGTCACAGAGCCACCCGGGCAGTGACAGAGAAACACGCCTGTGGGGAGGAAGTTCAGGGCAGAGAGAAGTCGGCCCCTTGCTCACCACTGCAAAATGCCCCCACGGGCTTCGGCTGGCACTGGCCGTAGGGAGCGCCCTCATCAAATCTGGCCAGGGACACCCCAAGATGTCCCAGGACAACCATCTTCCCACCGCCTTTGGGGGTGACCCCGGTCTGCCCCCACCGGTCACCCTGCCCACCTGTCCTTCAGGAACAGACCCCGTCTCCTGTTCTCATCTTCTCTGCCTCAGCTGTTCCCCAGCGCTGTCCGCAGTCCAAGCCTGCACCCCAGGAGGGTTCCCGCTCTCAGCTCTCAGGGCAGGTACCGCTTCCCTTGCATACCTCCTACAGCGAGCCGTGGGAGGGCAGGGCATACAGCAGGCGCACAACAGTGCACACACCTGGCGCGTCCAGTTGAGCCACTCGGTAATGCCACTCGGCGCCCTCAGGGCAGCTCTCGCGTGAGCGTCAGGCTCATTTCCCCTGATCCACAGAGGAGGCAGCCATGGGGCCGGGGGACTGGAGGGTGGGGGGTGCCCAGCGGTTTGAAGACAAAGCTCAGCTTAACAAAGGCCCCTTCACACAACTGCCAAAACACCATGTGTAGACTCTGGATCCCAATACAGACAGACCAGCGTGGACCAGGTATTGATAAGATTAAGGAATTACCGTTAATTTGGTTAGATGTGATGATGGCGTGGTGGTTTTGTAAAGGGCAAAGATCCTCAACTGAGACACCTACTTCTGGGCAGCTGAACTGACATGACGTCCGGGGTTTGGTTTTAAATATGACAACAAAACAACGCGAAACAAAAACCTCGGTGGGGACTTCGAGGTTCGTTATCCTCGGGGAGTGGTGGATATTCGAAATTTCTCATAATTTCATAATTCAAATCTCATATTTGAAATTTCTCATAAAAAGAGAAAAAAGACCTCCATGCCCTGGGTGGGGGTGTAGGGAGCCGGCAGAAGTATTCCGAGGGCCCCTGGCCAGAGCTCACACGCAGGACCGGCTGGGCGGCGGCGGGCTCGGACTCTGGACCCAGGGGGGCAGCTCCTGCCCAACCCGGGAGCCAGCTTTGGAGCTAGACTGCTGGCAGCTGAGGACACAAGGCCACCAGCATGGAGAGGATGGCAGGGCTCCACTCTGGGGCAAGCCAGTCCTGCTCTAATTTCTGGGTTATTTTTGTTTGAGGCATAGCCATGGGCCAGTTCAGCTGGGAAGAGATTTGTGGGGCAGTGCCAATCTGGGGGACCGCTGCCCGGCCCACCTCCCAGGTAGCCCCGCAGACCTCCCCCGTCCCAGATCCTGGTGGAGGGCGAGGACCCTCGGACCAGCAGAGCAGATACCGCACTGCAGCAGACCATGTGAAGGCAGAGGCTGGGACAGCTCTGTGTGCCTGTCCCCATCCTCCTCCAGCGTGACAGAGCTGGCTCCCTGAGGAAGCTCTTGTCCCATGCCCCCTCCCAGGACGCCACAGCAATGAGTACCCTCAAGGCCATGTTAACCTCTTCCTACCCGGGGTAAGAGGAGAGAAATACGGAGGCCCTCTGTTCCGGACTCCTTTGAGGGTGAGACTTTGAAAAAGATGCCTCTCCCCAAGCTACAGGATGGTGAACATACATGCCCGCTGTGCCCACTGCAGACTCTGTGTGCACCTCGCCCTCACCACACACTGACAACGTGGGCAGGCCAGAAAGGCTGGGAGGGGCATGAGGAGGCAGAGCGGGCCCTGAGGGCACCCAGGTGGGCTCTACAAAGTGGGGAAGGGGGGGCAGCACCAAGCTCCTGCAAGGCCAGGTCAGAAAGGGCAGCCCAGAATGGAGGTGGCGGTAAAGGTAAAACTCTTTTTTCTTGTACTCACAACACTCTTGACACCAAATGTGTGGGTTTTCCACACCAAGCAATTTTCCAATTCTCTGTGGTCACCAACTGGATGTCCGACAACTTAATTCTGACACTAACTGCCAGAGTTAGCACAGACCTCCCAGGTTAAGGGCTCAGTACTTATGACTGACTGGCTATAAACTGGGGGTTTCCATGACCCCTTCCTTGGGTTTGACCATTTGCTAGAATGGCTCACAGAACTCAGGAAAGTGCTTTACTTACTATTAGCACTTTATTAGAAAGAATACAACTCAGGAAGAGCCAAACAGAAGAGAGATGCACAGGGCAAGGTGTAGGGGAAGGGACAAGGAGCTTCTATGCCCCGCCACCCTTCTGGCTCTCCCACTGCTTAAGGTTTCTGTGGAGGTTCTGTTCCGTAGGCACGGCTGAGTAAGTCACTGGTCAGAACTCCACCTCCAGCCGCTCTCCCCTCTCCCTGGAGTTTGAGGGCAGGGCTGAGAGTTCCAACCCCCTAATCTAGGGGTTGGTTCCTCTAGCAACCAGCCCCCACCTTCTAAGAGTCACTCAGGTGCGAGTGAAAAGGGCTTATTATGAATAAAGACACTTTCACTGAAGGAATTCCAAGGGTTCTAGAAGCTCTGTGCCAGGAACTGGGGGTAGAGACCAAATAGGCATTTCTTATTCTGTCACAGGGGGAGAACTGGCTGCCTCTTCAGTGTCCTCTCCCCAGCGGGGCTTCCAAACAGTACCATCACTGGGGGGAGATGGACTGGGGGCTTCCTGTCTCCGGACCTGGGTGGGGGGAGAGCCACTGGGGCAGTTTGGGTCTGACCCCAGGGCTTCCTCAGGCAATGGCTCAGCACGTGCTGCTCATCACTGGAGGAAGCCCTGGGGTCAGACCCAAAGAGGGAGGGTCCCAGCACAGAGTGGGGCTGAGGAGCTGGCCGGGTCACACCCATTGTGGCTGGGCCACCCCAGGAAGTGCTGGGGGGTGGGGGGCAGGGGCAGTGGCTCGCTGTGGGCCTAACTGGAGCCGAAGGCCAATGTAATTCTCTAGAACACTTTATGAGCCACTTAACCATTTCTCGACCCAGTCGTCCAAGCACAGCTGACGTAATGGCAATGTTAACACATAAAAATGGTAAGCTGCTTTACTAGCGGCTTTCAGAGTCACAAAAGCAGCTATTTGGTGAAGTTTCCCGCAAACTGCAGAAACAAAGTCCAAGTGGGGAATGATGGGGCACTAAACCATCCCGAAAAGTCATCAAAGACCATTATCATCAAACACTGTGCCCAGAGCCAGGCAGGTGGTCACAGTCCGAAGACAGACGCCCTGCCCCTGGTGCCGACGCCCCACTCAATTCTGCACGCGGGCCTGTGGTGCTCATCTGGTACTGGCTGAGGGAACATCAATTACTGTTTTTTACATTTTAATCTTTATCCAGAGAAACACAGCAGCTTACCTCTCCATCTCGTATTCTTTCATTCCCACTTTTACGGCCTTCATTACCTGGAGGACGGATATTAAGCAAAGACATTTGTATTAAGGAGATAAGTAACACTGCCTTATAAATAATGTATAGCAGTTTTGCAAAAGAAACTCTTCTTTAAAAAAAAAAAGAATGGTATCGGTGCACAGTGGTGCAGACATGTAACGAATTCGAACTTTTTTAAAGCTCCAAGAGCCATACAGTTTATTTAAACCACTCTGGAGCCCTTCCATTTGGGAGCCCGTGAACACCTGGCACCAAGCTACACGGCCGGCTCAGGCGGCGGCCAAGATTTAACCAAGATGTCTGGTGAATACTTAATGCTCGGAAAGCGATGCCTAGCCTAAAAGGTTTCCTTTGTTTAGCTGTCATAGAATGCACAGAAAATGAATTCATGCAAGAAACTGTGGCCCCCAAACGACCCTTGTCTGTCTCCGGACACAAAGCTGTGACTGTCACTACACAGGCACCAAGCTATCCCAGTCACCTTGAACGTCCTACAAGAAATACGCTTCCTTATTCGCTCTTGCTCCTCAGGTAAAGTGGGAAGGTTTGGGAAAAAGCTGCATGAGAGAGGCTGTTTTTAGAAATGGAGGACAGTAATCACTGTGCCTGAATGATGGGTAAGGACAGGAGAGTCTTTAAAAGGAGCTGGAACTGCTGGAGTGCCAGGAAGGAGAGCCCCACGCTCTGAGCGGGGACTTCTTGCTGGGAAATGTCCTCAGGGTGGGTGCCTTAAGGTGAGGGACTGGGGCAGAACCTCTGCTGTCCCTGCCCTGCCCCCACTGGGGAAGAGAAAAGAGCCATGACCACGTTTCTGCCGGAAACAACACTTGCTGCCTACTCACATGGCACCCGGGACTGGAGCCACGACGGGACTGTCCATCTCTATGAGGCCCTCCCACCCCACTCAGAGCCCTGCTGCTTGCCCACCCCGGCGAGAAGAGCGCTCCGGCGAGCCCGTGCCCAGCTTACCTCCCGGTGGGCCTCGCTGGAGATTCTGTTGGTGTAACGCAAAACCTCCAGCTCCATGTCCGTCTTAAAGACCCGGCTTCAGAGAGAAGAACAAAGGGGCAAGTCAGTGATGCCCAGCATCAGGGACTAGCTGGACCCCACCCACCCAGGGAGACCTCAGGACCCACCATACCCGGCACAGCCTGGGAAGCAGCACAGGGCTGGCTTGTGCCCAGCCAGGCCACCGGGGCATGGGGGTGGAAGGGCCACAAAGCCCCAGAAGTGATACGCTGCACTAAGCGCTGCCCATCCTGGTCTCATGCCAGGCTTGGGTGTGCAGGCTGTTTCTAGTTACAAGACCTGGAAACCACTGTGGGTGCTGGACGAAGCCTAGATTCTGCAGCCAGACATGTCCTGCCTCACTGAGACTCAGTTTCCCCGTCCATAAAATGGGGATAAAATCTACCTGGCGAGAAGGCTGTTGGACCTGAATCAAGTGTGCCCGACTCCCAGGACTCTGCCCAGTTGGCTGAAGAGGGTTACCGTTTCCTCCCACCCCACCCACCCGCCCCTGGGGCAGCCGAGGAATCCTCCTCCACCTCAGTCAGGCCCCCTGCGGGATCCAGGGATGGCGGTGGGAACAGTGGGTGGTGCAGCCACTTCCAGCCATGAGTGCAGGAAAGAATGTGGAAAACAGCCAGTCTGCAGAGAGCAGGAGACAAGGAACAGACAAGAGAAGGGGGCTGTGTGGGGCAGGCAGGCGCAACCAAGAGGCCCTGCACTCCTTCCGGAGACTCAGCTGTACCTCCTGCAGCTGGACTCTGAGGGTCCTGGGGGACCTCACAATAAATCCATGTTAATCTGCCCAAATGTGGTCAGGTTTCTGGTCTTTGCGATCAACCTCATTGCCAAGTACGACTCAGCTAGAGAAGCTACGTAAATATTTGTTTTCAACCTCCACTTCAGATGAGCAACTCCAGGCCACGGGGCATTTCAGTGGCAGCCGTGACCAGTCATTAAGAGCTCAGCGTCCTTGGTGCGTGCCCTGTGGCCAGCTCTGCGTCCTTTACACAAGGTGACACACCTTCACCAATGCTCCCACATGGCCGCCTCTCCCTCTCGCAAAGGGAACACACTCAAGCGCCCCGCAGATAGGCAAAGCCAGAGTGTCTGATGATGGCAGACGAGGGCCTGCCCCCTGCCCCCCCCATTCACCCTCTCATCCAGCCGCTGTCTGCGTCCTGAAGCTGGACCAAGGCCAAGGACAGCAGCGAAGAAGCTCCCACCTCCATCAGAGGCAGCAAACCTCTGGGGACTTCACAGAAGCAGCCCAAGCCAGCCACTGACTCACACCGTCTCCATGGTGCCATCCAGCTGGGACAGCCAGCCATCTGTCACAGGGAAGTGACGAAGGCATCTTGCAGCACTGTGACGCCCTCCTAAGACCGTAAAACCTTCTGGGGAATGTGGAAAAGATAAACCCTTCAGCCCAGTGAGACTTTTTCCACATGAATAGCCTTTTTTCCTGAGGAAGCAGACCCTGAAGCCTGACACTCGGCTCTTTATCATCAGAAGGCGTCTCTGATTCCCTACCGGGGGGCTGGGAGCAGTCCCACCTGGGGAACAGGAGCTGCTTCCTGTGCCCTGGAGGTGAGGGTCCAAAGCCTGGGCAGGACTCAGATGAGCAGCTCAGCTCCTGAGGCCCAAATCCACTCATAGGATAACCTAGCAGCCCCTGCTGCTTCACTCCCCACTGCCACCTGCTCAGTCCAGCCCAAACAACTGCTATGCGGGGAGTGGGCTCCTCTGTTCTCAGGTGCAGTGATGACCAGAATGACAACACAGTGGGGAGCCAGGCCCAGGCTGTGCCCGCCCCCAGTCCTCTGCGCCTCTATTCAGCTTAGATCCCTGGTTCATCCTGCCAACATTTCAGACCCCGAGGCCCTGTGCCCACACAGCCATATGGGCTCAGCCAAAGCCCCACGAGGGATGAGGCAGAGTCTGGGCCTGCTGCAAGCATGATCCGGGGCCACAAGGGCTGCAGGAAAATCTGTGACTGGGCAGTCGGCATAGTAAGCTCCCAGTCACCAGCCCCACCGGTCGGCACCATCCCAGTTCTGCTCTGACCTGCTGGAGGACATGCAGGCCTGGAGGGTTCCTCTCAACTTTATCTCCCTCAGATCTCTCCCCTCCCTTCCCTGGGTCTCCGCCCCTTGTCGGCAGACGAATGAACTCTATCCACTCCTCTCCGAACCCCCAAGCCTTCCCCTCCACACTCGGGTTCTCCTCCCCACCCACTCACAAGGGAAGGAGTGGAGCAGGCTCAGCACCCCAACATACCCAGCTGGGCTCAGAGCCCACGTGGCCCCTATTACTGGGAGCTCCATGACCACCCACTTCCCCTTCCTCCTCCTCCTCCTCCTCCGGGCAAGCTCTATCCCCCACTACCCTGCCACTTTCCAGAAGGGAAACCATAACCACCTTTGCTTTGGGAGGGGAGAGAGAGCTGCTTTTATGTTTCATCTCAACCCTCTCGTCCATCTCCTCCCTCTCCTCTTCTCCCTTCGGCCTACCACCCCCCCAACCCTGCCAGCCCCCATCTCACCAACGTGTGGGAGAAGGACTCCAGGCTGCCAAATCCAGAGGCAGTCCATGACCGCGAGAGGAAGCACAGGGAGCCCTGCATCCTCTGGCACCACTGGGCTGCTACCCCTCCTCCATCTCCCTTCCCTGATCCCAAACCCCAGTCTCTGGCACAGGGCTCTCCGCTGCACCTGCCCCTGTAAGCCGCCCAGGCTCCTACAGCTCAGCCTGACACAAACTCCCCCACCCCACCCCACAGCTCCGCCACACCCCTGCTGCTTCAAACAGACACCTGCGCGTCATCCCAGACACCTTCGTGTCATCAGTCCACTGCTCCCACATCCAAGTGACGACCAAGGGCTTCGATTCTCGGCGCTACAACCTCTCTCAGACCCTCCGTTTCTCTCCATCCAGACCCCACCGCCTCCAGCCTGGACAACTCTCCGGCCTCTTCTTGCCTCCAGGCCTCTGTGCTCACTGACAGCGGCTGGGGATCTTTAGGAAACACAAATGCGACCATGCTTTTCCTTACTTAAAAGCTTTGGGGGCCTCTAAATGTCCTCGGGATGGAGTTAAAACTACTCACAAGCCTTCCCATGCCTATCTCCACCACCTACCTCCCCTCAGCCCCACAGCAACTCTTCTGCTCAGGCTCTTTCACCTCCAGCTCCCACCTGAACCACACCTTGCCCGAGGTGGAGGCGGGGCTCCCCCATACCCCTTCCCTATGTTTCCAGGGCAGTCTATAGGAATCCTTGGAGAGCTACCACACGCGTGACTCTTTTTACATTTAAGTCTCTTCCCAAAAAGGCCGTGGTCCTGGGGGGCAGGGTCGCTGCACCCCAAGGGCTTGGCCCAAAACAGACACGCAGGAACCAGGATTAGAAAGAGTACCTGGGTTCTAGAGGGGAGGGGGGTGGGGGGATGGGTTGGCCTGGTGATGGGTATTAAAGAGGGCACGTTCTGCACGGAGCACGGGGTGTTATGCACAAACAATGAATCATGGAACACTGCATCAAAAACTAATGATGTAATGTATGGTGGTTAACATAACAATAAAAAAATTATTTAAAAAAAAAAAAAAAAGAAAGAGTACCTGGGCATTGCACCAAAGCTGGAAAATGCCTTACTTCCAAAAAGGAGAGCTCATGGCTCTTTTCAAAGAAGAAAAAGAGGCTTCCTCCACCCCACCTCAGGGAGTTTGGCAGACATCGTGGGATATGGCTCAGCCAGGCCTGCCCTGCGCAGGACAGGGGCACAGCCTGCCCGGGCTCCAGCAGCCCAAACTGCCACAGCCAACGCCCCGCCCTGAGCCACACAGCGAGGAAGAGGCAGCCCTAAGAGTTGAACCCCAGGAGCCCACTGCACAGGCTCTCCCCACAGCCCCTCCCTGCAGTGGGAGTGCCCCAGTCTACAGAGAGGCTGGGAAAAGCAGGCCACCAGCTTCTCCAAGGAGACTTGGTGCCCAAACCACACTCTCTTCCCATCAGAGATGCCAGCACTTCGACCACTGATGCTGAGGCCTGCTTTCCTTCCTAGTTTCAATTTGTGGAAGATGACAAACCAGGACTCTACCTGGTTTACTCAGGACTTATTTTTAAGTCATGTTTAAAAAAAAAAAAAAATCAAACTGAACCAGGACAAATTATGCCACAAAGGCGGTTCTCCAACAAAACCGGCCTGGCCCAACTGAATCCGAGCTTTAAAGGCCCTGAGAACAGGCGTCTGCCATGTGCCGGCTCACCTGATTATCCATAGGGCACTCTGGGTCTAAGTCTTGCCCAGGTGCCAGGCATCCAGCCTGGCCCAGTTCTCTCCAGGACACAAGCACCAGAAACAGTTTTTAAGATGACTGTACAAAATAACAGGACTTTCCAGCATTCAGCAGTTTCTCCCTATCTTCAGGAAGGACTGAGCGCCCTGAGTCTGATGAGGCTATTTCTATGACTCCTGGACATGAAAAGATAAGGAAAAAAGGATTCCACCACGGTCCAGCTTCTGCTGTCCCGGGCCCTCCAGAGTGAGGGCTGCCTAGTGTCATACTCAGCCCCAGCCTCGTTTGGCCCCAGCATGTGTGGGGTGGGGGTAAGAAATGTGATCTGCAAGTCTTCTATCCCCAGGACAGGACCAAGGCCTCCTCCTCCATGAGGCACCAGAGGACGCAGGTTTGGGACAGAACAACACAGATGCAGTTAACAAGTCTGGGCTGAGAACAGACTCTTCGACTAGCAAGAGGAGATGGCTGACATGTGCAGGCGATATAGGCCATCATGCAGAGTCCCCTGGCCTGTGGCCCTGCCTGTGAGCATCAATGCACCCAGGGGGCCACTCACATGGCAAGGCAGCACCCCAGGCAGGGGAACAGAAGTAGGGGGAGAAGGCTCCTCCACCACATCAGGCCCAGAGTCCCCGGCAACAGGCTAGAAATGACAAAAACTGGACTCAGCTGAGATTTATTTGTGCAATCTGGTTTTTTTCCCCTTCAATATGCATAGGTCACAAAACTGCTTCTGGGCATTAAACCCAGGATTAAGACATTAATTAGCTGACGTTTGAATTCTCCACTGATTAAAACAGTAGCAAGACAGGGGCGCCTGGGTGGCTCAGTCGGTTAAGCACCTGCCTTCGGCTCAGGTCATGATCCGGGGGTCCTGGGATCGAGCCCCCTCTCCCTCTCCCTCTGCCTTCCACTCTGCCTACTTGTGCTCTCTGTCAAATAAATAAAAAAAAATCTTTAAAAAAATAGATAAAATAAAATAGTAGCAAGACAGGATGAAGTATATTCAAAATCAGTCTCTAAGCATCAAAGTGCCACCGTGGTGAACAAAACCCATTTGAAGGGACAGGAATTCCATCTCTCCTGGAGATGAATGTGCAGAGGGGATGGTTCTGTGGGAGCCGGCGGGCAGGAACTCAAGGCCACAGGACCCCACGTCCATTCCTTCCACACCCCATGACCTGGTGCTACAAAGGATAAAATCCCAGAACAACAAGAGGGACAGAAAGGAAAGAGCTACTTGGACTTACATATCCTCAGGAGGCTCAGTCAGTAAGTCCTCTCAGAGAAATCGGAGCCATGAAGAAAATGGCGGTCTCGCTCAGCAGTGAGCTAAGTGTGCTTGAGACTTGACGTGGGCCAGGCAGACACGGGCTGCACACAGGGGAGGCATGGAGGGTCCACCTCAATGTGCCGGCCCGGGGCCCAGCCATGCCTCCCTTTCTGCCGGGTGGCGCCCGCACCCCACCCCCTGCCTTCTGGCACATGGTCATTCAAGGCCTCACTCTGCCCTAGGATCTCCACCGTCCACTCGGCTCTCTCACTAACGTAGCATTAAATGCCTCTTCCTCAGGAGACAAAGAGAGCAACCCAACTGAAATACTTTTCACACAGTCCAAGAATCTAGGTCATCATCTACGTATCTTTTCTAATTCGGGACATGTTACCCAGGACGCAGGATCCTGCCGTGCTTCTGCCCCTGAACCATCCACACCTCGCCATCTCCCGAGCACAGAAAAGGCAGGGAAGGAGAAACAGCTATGTTACTCCCCTGCCTGATTAACACACACAGGACACCTTCACTCTGTGTAATTAACAGTTCTAAAATCGGTGTGTGACTCAATTTAACACAGTTTCACTTAAAACCCAAGAAGGCACACGGCAACTGCTGACATGCTTGTTCTTCTGTGACGCTTCCAGAGGTACTTAACCGGAATCCCAGGCACGGAGCTATTAAGACGGTACAAAAGTATCTCCCTCTATTTCCTATCCTAACTTCAGATCAATTTAATCATCTGCGGAACAGGAGAGTGGAACCACAGCCTAAATTATGGAAGTGAGACGCCTGCTCTTAAGTTTCAACTTTTGACCTCCACATTCGAACTGCAATACCCAGCACGAGAAATTATCAGTTATGATCTCATGTTTCCAGGAAAGAGTATGATTATAGAGGAATTTACAGGAAATCACAAAGGCACTGCTTGAGCGAATGAGAAACAATAAAGCAGTCACAGAGAGGAAATGAACGACTTCCACAAAAACAAGGAGGAAGGAAGCGTCCTCTGTGCTGGGAGAGGCTGTTCCTTGCCTCTATCAGACTGGCCCTGGGAGGAATCCCAGACCCCCAGTCGAGTGGCTAACGGGGAGCTGGAGTATGTCAGTAGCAGGGGGTGTGGAGCGAGAGGAAGCTCAGCTGCACAGCCCCCGGCCTCCACCCTCACTACACCCTGCCCTCACAGAGCCATGCCAGGCCCTCCGAGCACCCCTGTGTCTCCCGTGGCCAAGAGAGGACCGAGAGCACGGCTGAAAGTCAGGCAAACCCCCACCCCCATCCCCTCTAGGGTGCCCCTCAGATACACAAGGGGCAGCACAAGATCCTGGGACGACCTGCCTGGGCTCAGCTCCTGGCTTTTTCTCAGGCAAATCCCCTCCCTGTGCCTCAGCTTCCTCATCTGTAGAATGGGGATAATCAGAGCACCTAGCTTAGAGCATAAACAAAATACCTCTTTGAATAAGGGGACAAATGTCAAGTGCTTAGCACAGCGCCTTGTACATGAGAAGTCTCAAAAGGCGACAGACAGGGCGCCTGGGTGGCTCAGTTGGTTAAGCGTCCGACTCTTGATTTCGGCTCAGATCATGATCTCAGGGTCATGAGATTGAGCCCCCCATCGGGCTCTGCACTCAGCGGGGAGTCTGCTTAGAATTTTCTCTCCCTCTCCCTCTGGCCCTCCCCCTCACTCACACACACACACACACACACACACACACTCTGTCTCTCTCTCAAATCAATTTTTTTAAAAAAGGCAACAGACATTGTATTAAGCTGAGTTAGCACTTGACTTCTGTGGGAGCTGGCGGGCAGGAATTCAAGGCCACAGGACCCCATGTCCATTCCTTCCACACCTCATGACCTCGTGCTACAAAGGATAAAATCCCAGAACAACAAGAGGGACAGAAAGGAAAGAGCTACTTGGACTTACATATCCTCAGGAGGCTCAATCAGTAAGTCCTCTCAAAGAAATCAGAGCCATGAAGAAAATGGCGGTTTTACTCAGCAGTGAGCTAAGTGTGCTTGAGACTTGACGTCCACCAGGCAGAAACAGGCTGCACATCAAGGGAGAGCACTTCTGCTTTGCACGTGAGGAAACCAAGGCTCAGTGCTATAGGCTGAACGAATATGGGTCTCCCTCCAAAACTGATACGCTGAAACCTAAACTCCACTGTGTTGGTATTCAGAGGTGGGGACTTGGGAGGCAAACAGGTCATGCGGGCAGAACGCTCGTGAATGGGACTGGTGCCCTTATAAAAGAGACCCCAGAGAGCTCCCCGCCTCTTCTGTCCTGTGAGGACACTGTGGGAACACGGCCACCTAGGGATCAGGAAGTGGGTTCTCACCACACACCGAGTCTGCCAGCACCTCAGTCTTGGATTTCCCAGGTTCTAGAACTGTGAGAAACACATTTCTGTTGTTTATGAGCCACCCACCATGGTAATTGTTATGGCGGCCCGAATGGTCTAAGACACTTGGTGAATCTTCACAAGTTAGGTATTACTGCACAGCCACTGGCAGACGAAACTGAGGCTCAGAACACTTAAGCGACTTGCTGAGGGGACAGGCTGGGGTTAGAGTTTGGATGTGCCTGAGTGGAGGGCTTTTCTGTCACCACAGGCAGCCCCCCTCCATGGGGCCTAGACAGAGGGGGTAATGAAAGCATTTAGGACACAGGCACCCAAAGATGTGTCAATCATAAATTGTAAATTATGTCAATCATAATTTAATGTCACAGAAAACCCACTCTCCCAGAAATGAGGGACCATCCTGCCATTCCACCCAGAATCCTTCCTTCACTTCCTCCAAGAGGGCAGTGATCGTGACCACCACGGATCTCACTTGAGAATGACTGCAGTCATTACAGAGGCCAGAACCCACACTATTAAAACACACCCTTGAGGCAGTAAGGACAATGTGACATTTCTAAAATAGTTCTACTGCCATCAAATGTCAAATAAGTCCTTTCTACTGCTGGCTTTGATAAAGTTGGGAAGTATTCTTATGAATGCGGAATCCACCTCAGAGCCTTGGAAATGTCACTAGAATTAAAGCATGCCTGTTCCAAAGTAACGAACTAATGACTTGTTCCTCAGGAGATGCTGGAGTGTACAAGCCAGCATGGTCTCCAAAGCATCCGAACCATAAGCCGCCACGAGGGAGTGTCACATGCGGGGTGTAAGTGGGTGCGGGCCCATTCCTGAGTATCCAGGATTTATTCTTCTGTCAACTGGGAGCTACAGATGGGCCAGGCATCTGTTACTTTATAAAAACAAGAAAAGGCGGCTGTGTGCTGAAAGGACACAGGCCCCATCCTCAGAGTGACTGTGGCTGCCACTGGAGGGCTACCCTCCAGTGCTCTCACGGTCAGTACCAATGCCTGTGATGGCGCTTGGATTTCCACCTCTGGCCCAGCCTCATTCCCACTGGAACCTGCTTCAGACTCAACACAGCCCAAACAAGTCCCTGATCGGCCACAGCACCTGCTCTTCCCAGCCATCCCCATCCCACTGACACACTACCCAGCCATTCAGGACAAAAAACTGGAGTAACCTTCAACTCCAGCCTTCACCCAGGTCACAGCCAGCTCCTCCCAGGGGTGTTCCCCTTGACCACCACTCTACTCTCAACTCTGTCACACTACCCTTCTACTGCCACCTGGATCCTGCAGCAGCCTAAGTGGCAACCACTTACCTCTCTTGCCCTACAACTGAGTCTCCAGTCTGAGGCCAAAATGCCTGCTTGAGTGGGAGGGCCACTTCCAGGGCCCGCAGAGGTGATGATGCCCAACCTGAGAAGGTTTGCCCTGCTGTGACCTAACAGAAACCAGTTATGCTGCAGGTACGTACAGGCTGCCGGTATCAGCACGGAAGGAAAGGAGGCAACATAAGAACACATACAACAGGATGCCAGCTTGTCAGGACACAGAAGCAACACGAGGAAAACATGTTTACCTTTCTGGTAATAGGATTATGTATGATGTTTATTTTCACTGTTTTCATTATCTACTCTGAGCTATATGAGCGTGGCTCATTCATGGCAGGAGTTTTTAAAAGTCTCCTAAATAAAAGATAAGAAAAATTCAACTGACCTTCAAGTGACTCAGGCCCTTTTGGAAAGTCAGACCAACTCACACACACACACAAAAAGAAAAAAACAGAGAAGAGAGTTGTTCTGGGGACCATCTTGTCTGAGAGGCTCTCTGAGATGGGGCAGGGTCTCTCAGCTTCCTGAGCGGAGCACAACAAATAGCCAACGTAGCCATAAGCAATACTCACCACTCCACAATTTCTGGATGAAGAATGGTGTTATTGACATTAAACCTGTAGAGGAAAAACAAATCAAGCCTATTAGTTCAATGGTCTATCATCTCCCCACAAGAAATACCTCTTTTAAGGCATACCAAGAGATGGCATGACCCAGAGAGGGCCCCAAGCTTTAACTTCATGACCCCTGGGCCCATAGAAGGCCTGCTGCTCACTTCCTGCAGCAGACTTGCAGGCAGGCCAAGTGCTCTAGGTGCAGTCAGAGAACAAGCTGCTCGGCTGCAAAACACCATGCTCTACTCTCACTAGGCAGACCTAAAGGCCACAGCCTCCTCTGTCAAGTATACCAATATACACACAATAGGAGTCCCAGAAAAAAAGGAGAAAGATAAAGAAGAATTTTTGAAAAGAAAAAAAAAAAGGCCCCAAACTTTACCAATTTAATGAAAAACATGAATCTACACATACACAAAGCCCAATAAACTCTGAAAAGGATAAATCCCAAGAGACCCACACTCAGACATACAATCTGTCAAAAGACAAAGAGAAAATCCTGAAAGCAGTAAGAGAAAAAAATGCATGACATACGAGGAATTCTCAGTAAGATTAATGGCTGATTTCTCATCAGAAACCATCAAGGCCAAAAGGCAGTAGGATGAAAGAAAAAAAAAGGGTCAACCAAGATTCTATATCCAGCAAAGCTATGATTCAAAAATGAAAGGAAAATTAAAACAGTCCCAGACAGACAAAAATAGAGAATTTATTGCTAGAAGACTCTCCTACCAGAAATCCTAAAGGGAATCTTTCAGACTGTAGTGAAGAACACTAGAGTTACTTGAATCCACACGAAGAAAAAAAGGCATCGATAAAAATAATTACATAGGCAAGTAAAGCGACAGAGCAAATGTATTTTTTTGTAACTCCTTTTCTCACCTCTCTGACTTAAAAGACAACTGCATAAAGCAGTAATTGTAAATCTGTGTTGACTAATGGAATATGTGAAGATGCAATCTGTATGCAACAACAACACAAAGGAGGGGACAACATGGAGCTATACAGAAGCAAAGTTGTTGTATGCTACTGAAATTAAGTTGACATTAACGAAAACTAGACTGTCACAAGTTTATGAGGTCACTTGTGGTCCCCCAGGTAATAACTAAGAAAATAATTTAAACATACAGAAAAGGAGATGAGAAAGGAATAAAAACAATGTATCACAAAAAAATCAATTAAATACAAAAGAAAGTAGTAATGGAGAAGCTGAGGAACAAAAATGACATATGACATATCGAAACTAGTAACAAAATGGCAGAAGGAAGTCATTCCTTACCAGCAATTACTTTAGATGTAAATAGATTTGATTCTCCAATTAAAAGGCAGGGACTGGCAGAAGGAATTAAAAGAAACATGATACAAGTAAATGTTCTAAAAAGACACACTTTAGAGTCAAAAACACAAACAGGTTGAGAATGAAAGGATAAGAAAATATGTATTATGCAAAGAGAAACCAAAAGGGAGCTGGAACAGCTCTATTAATATCAAACAAAATAAGGGTTAAGACAAAAAAATTTACTAAAGATAAAGGACATTTTATACAAATTAAAAGATAAATTCATGAAGAAGACATAATAATTATAAACATAAATGTGCCTAACAACACAGCCCCAAGATATATGAATCAAAAACGGCAGAATTGAAGGGGAAATATATAACTCAACAATATCTGGAGACTTCAATACTCTGCTTGCAATAATGGATAGAACAACTAGATGGAAGATTGACAAGGAAATAGGAGACTTAAGCAACACTATCAACCAACTACACCTAACAGACATCTCTAGACTACACCACCCTCCAGTAGAATACCCATTTTCTCAAGTGCACATGGAACATTCTCCAGAATGGATCGTATGTTAAGCCATAAAACAACTCCCAATAAACTTATAAGGACTGAAATCATATTGAGTGTGTCCTCCAAGCACGTTGGAATGAAATTAGAAATCAGTAACAGAAGAAAAATTCACTAATCTGTGGAAATTAAATTTTATACTCTTAAATAACCAATAGGTCAATGAAGAAATCAGAAGGGAAACTGAAAATACTAAGACGAATGGAAACAAAAGCACAACATACCAAAACCTACAGAATGCTGCTAAAGTAGTGCTTACAAGGAAGTTAACAGTCAAAAATACCGATGTTAAAAAGGAAGAAAGTTATCTCAAACCAATGACCTACTCTTCTACCTTAAGAAACTAGAAAAAGAAGGAGCACCTGCGTGGCTCAGTTGGTTGAACATCAGACTCTTGATTTCGGCTCAGGTCATGGTCTTAGGGTCTTGAGATCAAGCCCCACGCCAGGCTCCGCACTGAGCATGGAGCCTGCTTGGGATTCTCTCTCTCTCTCTCTCTCCCCCCTGCCCCTCTCCCCCAACACATGCTGCACTCTCTCTCTCTCTAACAAATATAAATCAAAATCTTTAAAAAAGAAACTGGAAAAAGAAGAGGAAACTAAACCCAAAGCAAGCAGAAGGAATAGAATAAAAATTTGAGCAGAAATAAGCAAAATAGAGAATAGAAAAACAATAGAGAAAAATCAGTGGGATAAAAATTGGTTCTTTGAAAAGATCAACAAAATTGACAGTTTTAGACTGACCAAGAAACAAAGAGAAGGCTCAAGTTACTGACCAGAGATAAAAAAAGGGGACATTATTACTGATTTAACAAAAATTAAAAGGATTATAAGAGAATATAATGAAAAACTGTATGGCAACAACTGGATAATTGAGATGAAAAAGACAAATTCCAGGATGCCTGAGTGGCTCAGTCAGTTAAGCTTCTGCCTTCAGCTCAGGTCATGATCCCAGGGTCCTGGGATAGAGCTCCATGTCTGGCTCCGTGCTCAGTGGGGAGCCTGCTTCTCCTTCTTCCTCTGCCCCACCCCCTGCTTGTGCTTTCTCTCTCTCTCTCTCTCAAATAAATAAAA